TAAATGTTATTTGATGTTATAAATACAAATCTTAAATCATGAAGAATCTATCCTTAAAATTATTGCCATTAAAATGCATTCTGTATAGGTTTTATACAAAAAGGTTTAAGAATCTTTAAATATCTGTGTCACAATTCTGCCAAAAAGATTTTAAAACTATCCCAACAATAATCTGAGCCTCAAACTTACTTGTCTCAATCTGTACTAGACATTATTTATAAAACATTGGATTTGGGGTTGTTTTGTTTTTTTCTCCCACTATAGACAAGGAACCGTTGGGGGAACAATGGATTCTTGCCAAAATGCTTCTATTGCCCCCTAGTGCCCATTCTAAAGAATGAAGACCTTCACATAACAGCAGCTTGGAACCAGGAACAAATCACTAAATCTTGGAATAGAGCTTCTAGCATCCTCTGCTGACAAAATCTTGCAGGTGTAATTAAAGTGCTGTTTTAAACAGTATTAATTCTCCCCTGAAGAGAAAATCATTAAGCTTCTATACGCTATTTGTTTTAAGCTTTACTTCCCAGGCAGCTTCAATTAAACTAAAAGTGGGCAATAATTAAATATTGGTAATACTGATGAGAGCAATAAACAAATAGCAATTGCCAGTGGCTAATATGCCAGCCCCTGGGTTAACTGCATGTGAATCATCTCATTGTTACCAAGTCCTTGTACACTAACACAGATTTTTGTTCCACTTCTAACTCTTCAAACATTCCCTATATAGGAGGGCAAGAGACTGACTGATACAGGTGGTTGGCAAGAACCATGACTGAGAGGATGAGACACCTCAGCCCAGGAGACAGGGCAGCACAGTGGCAGCCCAAGCTTGGACTCGCCCCTGCAGAACGTGCCAGCCAGGGAGTCAGACAAAGTTCATGAAAAACAGGTGCTCTCAACTAAAAAGCCACTGCTACAGCTAGCCTTTAGTTACAGTCATAAAAATCTAACTCCCAGCTTTCTGCAGTAACAGGAACCAGAACAGCAAGGATAATAAAAATCCTCAATAATCCCAAAGTCTCCATTTAATTATGTGTTACAATCTTCTTTACCTTAAAAAGACTAAGGAATAGACATTTGGCCTGAAAGCTCAGATGCAGCTTGCAGTGCCCATGTACCACGTTTTAATGTCTAGGTCTGGAGATCTATTCTCAGTTACCGTTTTCTGCTAATGCACAACATGGGGAACATGAAGCAATGGCTCAACTAGTTGAAGCCCCTGCTACCAACACGAGACCCTGAATTGAGTTACCAATCCCCAACTCTGTACTAGGCATCTGAAGTGAACCAACAGCTTGGAAAGCTCAATTCTCTCTCACTGCCTTTCAAATAAATCAAGTAATTAAAAAAAAAAAAAAGAAGCATACACAAGAATGGTTTTAAAATACTTTTCACCTTTCTGACTCTTTGCTTCTAAATTTTTGTTACTTACAGTTCCAAGAAAAATAACAAACTTTCAAATCTATTTGAAAACACAATTTTACTACCAATGTAGATAAGTAAAAATGGAAAAGAAAATTAAAAAGCTTGTCATCAAGAGAAATTATGGTAAACATTACAATAATAAGCCAGTGACTTCCACTGTAACACTAAACACAATAAGCAACCAGTAACTGAAATAAAATGCATTAAAAAAAATCACATTCAGGTATTACAGTATATGTCTACTAATATGTATTTGGGAAATTTTCCTTCTAATTCTAGGGGCAAGTGTTTGGCACAGCACACAGGACACCACATGGGATGCCTGCATCCTAAGCTAGAGAACCTGAGCTAAGTCCTGGTTCTGCTTTCAATTTCAGCTTCCTACTAATGCACACCCTGCAATGCACAGGTTCTCTGGACCCTGTCACCCAGGTGGAAGACCTGAACTGACTCCCAGGTTTATGGCTTCACCTAGACCAGTACTGACTGCTGTGGGCATTTGGGGAGTGAACCATCAGATGGAAGGGCTCTCTCCGGCTCTCTCTCTTTTGTCTTTCTGACTGCTAAATAAGTTTAAAAAAACACACAAAGAAGAAGAAAATTTTATGATTCACCTATTTTTATTTGAAAGGCAGGGTTACAGATACAGACAGAGCTCTTCCATTTGCCGGTTCACTTCCCAAATGGCCACAACAGTTGGAGCTGCACTGGTCCAAAGTCACGATCTGGGTTCCCCATCTTGGTGCAGGGGTTCAAAAACACAGGCTAGTCTCTGCTGCTTTTCCAGGCCATTAGCTAGAAGCTGGACTGGAAGTGGAGCCACCAGGACTCGAATCAGCACCAAAACGGGATGCTGGCACCATAAGCAGAGGCTTAGCCTACTACACTTTTTGTCACATCCCCTTTGTTTTTTTAAAGATTTAGTAAAAAAATATTTTTTTCAAGATTTACTTATTTTCATTAGAAAGACAGATTTACAAAGAGGAGAGACAGAAAGACAAAGACCTTGCATTTACAAGCTCACTCCCCAGATGGCAGCAATGGCCAGAGCTGGGCCAATCTGAAACTAGGAACCAGGAGCCTCCTCCAGATCTCCCATGTGGGTGCAAGGTCTCAAGGCTTTGGGTCAACCTCTACTGCTTTCTCAGGCCACAAGCCGGGAGCTAGAGGGAAATGAAGCAGCTGGGACATGAACCAGGACTGATAGGGGATCCTGGCACATGCAAAGTGAGGATTTATCTACTAGGCTATCATGCCAGGCCCTACAATTTTTTGTTAAAAGACTGATTTCATTTACTTAAAACAGAGAGAAGGGAGAAAAAGACCTTCCACTTACTGGTTCACTCCCCAGTGGCAGTACCAGCTAGAACTGGGTCAAAACAATTCAGGAGCCAGGAATTTCAACTGGTCTTGTGAGAGCGGCAGCACCCCAAGCACTTAAGTCATCGTCAGTTGTTTTCCCAGGTACGTCAGCAGGGACTTGCTTCAGAGGCAGAGCAGCTGGGGCTCCAACCAGTACTGATTTGAAAAGCACATTGTGCCACAGCACCAGCTCTGGCATCTCCACATTGTAAAGCTATCTGCATTATCCACCATCTCTACACTAACCTGAAACACTGGTGGTATTTTAAGTTAGAAAAATAAAAGGAGAAGAACAAAAATAAAGGAATTCTCAGGACTACTTTGTCTGCCCTCTAAAAGTTGAAGAGTTAACTTAATCTATCAAGCTTTGCAATACCAATTAGTGCACACTTGTAAAACAGAGTTGTCACAAACCACTAACAGCTTTGTCTTAATTTCCATATAATTTTAGCAATATTTTCTTTTAACTACATTTATGAAAGACACGACATAACCATGAAGAAAAAAATTTGTTTCAAAAAAGAACTACTGCGCATGGACAGGCTCTGGGGTATGCCAGTCTGGGCTATATTCCACCACCCACCAGTGCTTGTGACAGCCAGAGTGTGTTTGGGACAGGCTGGGCTAGGTTTCCATTCCCACTGCGTCAGGGCATGGATTAGGTTTGGTCGGGCTGTAACACCCAATAGTAAAAACCAGATTTGCAGGTGCCCTGGCACGGTGGCCTAGCAGCTAAAGTCCTCGCCTTGCACCAGGATCCCATATGAGTGCCGGTTCTAATCCCAGTGGCTCCGGTTCCCATTCAGCTCCCTGCTTATAGCCTAGGAAAACTGGAAGAGCTCCTGGGCTCCTAGCTTCGGATAGACACAGCTCTGTCCATTGCAATCACCCGGGGAGTGAATCACTGGGTGGAAAAACTTCCTCATGTTCTGGATCTAATCTCATCCTCGTTATCTCTCTACTTTCCCCTAGCAGAAAATATTCACACACTATTCACATGACATGTCACCATTCCATCTGTACCTGCATACACTTTAGGTTTTGCTAACATGATTTCTTCATTTATTCACTGTGTTTGATTGATTTATTGTATTTGAAAGACAGTTTTCAGAGAGAGGGATAAACAAGGAGATATCGGGCCCGGTGGAGTGGCCTAGTAGCTAGGGTCCTTGCCTTGAACACGCCAGGATCCCATATGGGCGCCAGTTCCATGGAGGCTCCACTTCCCATCCAGCTCCCTCCTTGTGGCTTGGGAAGCATCAGACGGAAGATCTTCCTCTCTGTCTCTCCTCTTCTCAGTATATCTGACTTTGTAATAAAAATAAATAAATCTAAAAATAAATCTAAAAAAAAAATTTTAAAAAAAGGAGATATCTTCCATCTGCTGGTTTATTCCCTAAATGGCTATATTTTCTTCTTATTTTTTTTCACTTCTACTATTTTGGAGGTTGTATGTTTTCTTTATAAATCTTCAGGCAGTTACTCTAAAAAAAAAATTGCAACTTGCATACTGCATTTAAATTTATCTGAAGTTAACTGAATACCTAGCCTACTCCCAAACAATATAAAAACCTCAATTTATTGAGCTCTTGGAGTGCGTAGTTGATAAGTGGTATCTCTACCACCTGGAACACCCACATGAGGAATGGAGGGTTCCAGTCCCGATTCTGGCGTTTCACTAACGCCCTCTATGTAGGGCAGCATGTGGCAGCCGAAGCAGCTAGGTCCCTGACATCCACATGGGCACCTGGAATGAGTTCTTGCTTACTTTGCCCTGGCTCAGCATCCGGAGAATGAAGCAGTAGATTGGCGTTCTCTGTTTCTCTGCTTTAAAACCACTTAAAAGGAGGAGGGGAAATGAAGTCTGATTGCACTGATAGAATCTTCCACTTCATTGTAGATGATAATTACAGATGTTTGTTTTTAAATCTCCCTGAATGTATTCAATATTATTATTTACATTCAATGAATATATAGGTATAACAAAATATTTTATCCATTTCTATTTATCATATCACTTCCTTCTCTCCATTGACTATTTCCGGTTCTAAAGTTCTTTCAACAAGGGCTGTCAAAAGCTAATCCAGATTGTTTTTCACTTTTTTCTAATTTGTTCTCTTATGAGAATGATATAGTAGGAAACTGACCACTCTACAGCTTTAAAGATATTCATTCCTCCAAGGAACTCTTAAATTACCACTAAGACTTACTTCTTCTTCATCATCTCCTTCATCATCACCATCATCATCATTGTCATCTTCATCACAAAGAGGTGGAGGCAAAGGACCCAGAATATCTTGTTCCATTAGATGATCTGGCTCCCCTGCCACTTTAGGAGGCAAGGGAGGGCCAATTAACTCATCATCAGAAGAATCCGAACTGTCTTCACTTTCACTACTGCTTGTGTCCCTGAAAATACAGAAATAAACTCTTACCTCTGCTGCAACAAAGACACACCCTGGAGAAAGTACTGCTTTCGAAGGACAATCTGCCTTTCCTTTCCACAACAAATGGGTTTCTAGTGTTGTCAAGGATTACTGCGTATTTCAAAGGCTAAAACATTCCAAAGTTTAGAGGTGAGCACTACGGCACAGCAAATGAAGCTGGTGACCTATGGCACAGGCATCCCATGCAAGTTGGAAATCCAGCTGCTCTGCATCTGATCCAGCTCCCTGCTGATGGCTTGGGAAAAGCAGCAGAAAATAACCTGAGTGTTTGGGACTCTACAGTCATATAGGAGCAGTGAGGGAAGCACCTGGCTCTTGACTTCAAATTGGCCCATCTCTGGCCACTGTGGCCATTTTGTTCATTTATTGGATCCAGCACTATGGCTCAACAGCTTAATCCTCCACCTGCAAGCACTGACATCCCATATGGGCATCAGTTCATGTCCAATATGCTCTACTTCCCATCCAGCTCCCTGCTTCTTGCCTGCAAAGGTAGCAGAGCATAATCCAAGTCCCTGGAACCCTGCACCAGGAGGCAAGCTCCTGGCTCCTGGCTTTGGATCAGCTCAGCTCTGACCACTGTGGCCATTTGAGGAATGAGCCAGTAATATTTCTCTCAGTCTCTCCTATCTAGAAATCTGCCTTTCCAATAAAAATAAATAAACCCTTTAAAAATTTTTATTTACTTATTCAAAAGATCAATTGAGAGAGAAGGAAAGACAAAGAGAAAGGGAGAGAAGAGAGTGAGAAACATCTGCCACCCATTGGCTTACTCAGCTGGCTGCATCAGCTAGCACTGGACCAGGCTAAATTCAGAAGCCAGGAGTTTTATTCTACTCTGACATTTTTGGCTGCAAAGAACCAAAACAAATGATAGTGAAACATTTGTTTAAAGATACTTTCATTCTGAATGAATATTTTATTTAGATTTTTTATTTATTTATTTTAAAAGTTACTAAGAGACAAAGATGTCTTCCATTTACTAGTTAATTTTCCAAATGGTTACATTGCCGAGGGCTGCACCAGGCTAAAGCCAGGAGCCATCAGCTTCTCCCAAGTCTCCCATATAGTACAAGCACTTGGGCCATCTTTCACTGCCCTCCCAGGTGCATCAACAGGGAGCTAGGTAAGAAGTAGAGCAGCCGGCTCTCTTTCTTCTGCAGCCCTTCCCCACTTCTCTCTCTCTCTTTGTTTCTCACCACCTATGCTCATTCCTGCCCCACTGGAATAAAATCTCCTAACATTATTAAAAAAAAAAAAAAAAGGAAAGTAGCCAGGTCTTGAGTCAGCACCTATATGGGTTGCTGCCTGTGTAGTTGATTTAATCTATTATGCTACAATACCAGCCCCTCATTTTCTTTTCTAAAATCAATTTCCATGAAGAACATTACCCAAAAAGCTTTGTAAAAACTTGGGGGAAATGGACAAGACATAAATGTCTAAATCAACATGAGAAAATGTGCAAAGCTGTGCAAATCTCTCTTATTTTACATGGTTATATCCTACCAGAAACAAATATTGACTTAAACATTATCTAGAATATTTTTTGAAACTCAACCCATTAAATGACAAGTTATTTTCATGTCCTAGGAATACACACTGCCTAAAATAGGAATAAAACCACACAACCTTTTAATATCAAGAATTTTGACTCGGGCCTGGTACCATGGCCTACTGGCTAAAGTCCTTGCCTTGAATGCACTGGGATTCCATATGGGCACCAGTTCTAATCCCGGCAGCTCCACTTCACATCCAGCCCCCTGCTTATGGCCGGGGAAAGCAGTCAAGGACAGCCCAGAGCCTTGGGACTCTGCACCCTTGTGGGCGACCCGGAAAGAAGTTCCTGGCTCCTGGCTTCAGATCAGCGTAGCAGCAGCCGTTGTGGCCACTTGGGGAGTAATTCATCATATGGAAGACCTTCCTCTCTGCCTCTCCTCCTCTCTGTATATCTGACTTTTTAAATAAAAATAAATAAACCTTTTTAAAAAATAAAGAAAAAAGAATTTTGACGGCATAGTGCTAGGAATATCTAGAAAATTATACTGCAACAAAAACTTTCAAAGAAAATCTGGTGGGGCCAGCATCATGTCACACTTGGTGAAGCCTTCACTTGTGGTGCCAATAACCCATATCGGTGTTGGTTTGAGTCTCATGTGCCCCACTTTAGACTCAGCTGCCTCATAATGTGCCTGGGAAAGCAGAGGAGGCTAGCCCAAGTCCTTGGGCCCTTCACCCACATGGGAGATCAAGAAGAGGCCCCAAATTCCTGGCTTTGGACCAGCCCACCTCAGGCTGTTGCAGCTATCTGGGAGTGAACCAGCAGACTCAAGATGTCTGTCTCTACACTCTCTGTAAGCCTGCCTTTCAAAAATAAATAAATAAACAAATCTTTCTGGAAAAACAAGCAAACAAAAAACAGTACCTGGAAGATGCTTTTGAGCAATCTCTAACTGCATTTGAACTTGAAGATGTTGGTTCAGTATCTTCATTTTGTCTTCTTAATTCTTTCTCTCTGTTCATTTCTTCCTCTTTTTCTCTTGCTTCTGAAAAGATAAAAGAAAAATTTCCAACACTTAGAATTCAGAACTTGTTAGTATTAGAAATGCTGAAAATTAACCATCAGAAAGATATTAACATACAGTGCCACCAATAGCAGCAAAGAGCTACTAACCAGCAGCCAAGCCGTTGTGAAAGAACATTGCAGTATCACAAAGGTTAAACACAAAATGACCATCTGATCCAGCAATCCTTTTCCTGGGTATGTGTCCAAAAAAACCACAAGCAAGGTTTCAAAGACATCTTTGCACACTCATGTTTAAAACAGCACTATTACGATGGCTAAAACATGCAAGACATCAAAGTGTCCATCTATAGACAAATGAGTATGGGAAGGGTGATACAGCCATATGATGCAATACCAATACCATCCTAAAGAGGAAGAAATTCTGCTATATGCTATAACTTGGCCCAACTTCAAGGACACCAAACTAAATGACAGTTATCACATGCAGTAACTGAAAATGGTCAGAGACAAAGTAGAATAACAATAATGAGAGTCGTCTTAAGTGAGTATAGAGCTTAGTTGTTTTTTTGTTTTGTTTTGTTTGTTTTTATAAAACCAGTACATAGCATGCCAGTATCCTATATAGATGCTGGTTTGCATTCCAGTTATTCCACCTCCAATCCAGTTTTCTGCTAATATAACTGGGAAAGCATAGGAAGATGGCTCAAGTACTTGAACCGGGCTCCTGCTTTGTCCTGGCCCAGCCCTGGCTGCTGCAGCCATTTGGAGAGTGAATCCTAGGATGCAGGATCAATCTAACTCTATCTCTGTCTCATCTTCTCTGCCTGTAACTATAATAGAAAATAAAGAGGAGTCAGCTCCCTGGCAAACAGGCTAAGACTCCATCTGTGGCGTTGGTATCCCACAAGGTTACCAGTTCAGCTGCTCCACTTCTATTCCAGCTCCCTGCTTATGGCCTAAGAAAATAGCAGAACAAGGCACAAATCCTTGGGCCTCTGCACCTATGTAAGAGACCTGGAAGAAGCTCCTGGCTCTTGACTTTGGATTACCCCAGCTCTGGCTGTGGTGGTCATTTGGGGAATGAACCAGCACATGGAAGATCTCTTCCTTTGTTTCTCCTTCTCTCTATAACTTTGCCTTTCAAAGAAAAATTAAGCAAATTTTTAGAGACATATATATATATAATATTATATATATATAATATATATATAATATATATATATATAATAAAGGTTAACTATTAACAGACATACTAAGCAAAATCAGCCAGAGTGAATAATATGTGAATTATGATGGGGTCTGAATGGTTGCATGACAAGCTAATCCCTTTACCTACACAGCCATCTGCAATGCTGGAGCGATCCAGCTCGCTACTGATGGTCTGGGAAAGTAGCAGAGGATGGCTCAAGGCCTTGGGACCCTGCACCCAGGAGCAGCTCTAAGAGACACAGAAGAATTTCCTACATCCTGGGTCTGGAATGGTTCAGCTCTGGCCATTGCACCCATTTAGGGAGTAAATCAATGGATGGAAGATCTGTCTCTACCTCTCGCTGTACTCTTACTAAAAGTAAAATAAGTAAATCTTTAATATTTACATAAACTATGAAGAGACAATGTAAAGTCAGGTCACATGTAAAAATGAAACATTCAAAGATAAGATTTTAAGTAATTCATTTTTAATTTTTAATGCTTTCAAGCCTAAATCCAATACTCTATTTTTCATAATTCCTGAATTTTCTACACTGGCTTTTTAGTAAGAGATCACAGAGTTGTTAACTTTGGAAAAACTATAATTACCAATTTTTTAATAAATTTTTTCCATTGATAATATCAAACCACTGAGAAGAGGCCATAAGGAGTGAAATTCTAGGAATAGCTTCTCAATTGCCACAGTCCTCAATATTCAGAAATAATCTATAACATCTTCTTCCTTCATTAAAATATGAAACATAATACACTGAAAATTAAGTAGTCCCAGAAGACATTTACCAATTGGAATGGGTCTTTCTGTTGCTAAGAAGCTGAGGATGAGCTGTGAGGAAGTGGGACATGTCTTTAACATCAAACACACAGATAGACCCTTTAGGAAGAGCTAAGTAAGGCATCAATCTGCAGCTGCAGCTCCTATTGGTCAGTCTATGCTCCCCAATGGGCTGCAGCGGGTCAGCAGCAACAGCACTGTACTGATTAGAGGTTGGACGAAGTCAGAGATGCAGTGTTCAGATTAAAGACAGCCTGCGCAGCTCCAACCTCACTCGGCTTTTTCAGTGTATCCTCTACATCCTCTCGAGGGAGAGTGGAGGGCATTGAACCTGAGGGATAAGCTTCTCCCTCAGGTGTCAGGGCCATTTCTGTTCTTAATCAGGAAAGGATACTGAAGCAGATGTTATTAGCAGACTATTTCACTGGTGTTCTCTTCGTATTTCTCGCTAGGAAAATGACAATTTCCAGAGGCAGCACTGTGGTGGAGCAGAATAAGCTGGCACCTATGACACCAGCCTCCCATCTGGAACATCAGCTCACGAACCAGATGTTCTGCTTCTGATCGAGTTTCCTGATAATGCACTTGGGAAATCATCACAAGATGGCCCAAGTACTTGAATCGCTGCCACCCACATGGGAAAGCCAGATGATGTTCTGGGCTCCAGGTTTTGGCCTGAATCAACCCTCACCATTGCGGCCATTTGAGGAATGAAACAACAGATGAAGATCTCTCTCTTTTCTATCACTCTGCCTTCCAAAACAAATCTTAAACAAAATCCTTATTGCTAAGGCAAAACAGTCCCCCTTCTGGCTATGGTCATCTGCACATAATTAAATTTCTGGCTAACCTGGGAACAGTTTAGGACAAGTCAATACCCTGCACCAGGCACAGCAAAAGAATGGGAAACACAAAAGTTCACATCCTTCACATCAGGACCCAGGGAAGGACTTCATTCTACAATTGTCTTCTGAGAAACATTTTCTTATTGGAACTACTTTTAATTTTGCAATTTTCATAACTTTAACCAAAGTAACCAAAGGTATCTTATCCAAAGTCTTTAACAAAAAATAAGAGCAGATACTATGGACATGTGGCCACGTATATAGGACTAGTCTAAGCACTTCTTGGAGCTGGTGTTGTGTTTTACAACACAGCAAGTAAAGCTGCCATGTGCAAGCCAACATCCCATATAGGAGCCAATTCCAACCCAGCTCCCCACTGATGGCTTGACACTAGCAGTGGGAAATGGCCCAAGTGCTTGTGCCCCTGCTATGCACATGTGGGAGATCTACAAGTTCCTGGGCCTGGCCAAACCCTGGTGGCCATCTAAGGAGTAAAGCAGTGGATGAAAATCAATCAATCACTCTCTCTCTCATTTTCACATAAATAACAGAATGACAGAGAAGTACTTTTTTAATTTTCAAAGCTATCTTAGTAGATAATATTATCCCTCTATACCAATGTCCTCAGGAATTCAAGACATAAAGATAACTTGTGCAATAAACAGTAGTATTTAGTTAGCACAGCAGCAGACTGGGGTCTGTATCCACAACTGGATCCTTACTTTATGTGATCTGATCTACTAGGCTATAAAATTACCAACAAATCTGCCGCTCCTGAACGCTAGTAAAGTGCAGGCTCTAACTGTGTGCTTATATCTCAGACTACACTGAAACTGTGATCTTCCCCGACTGAAACTGCGATCTTCCCCGTCTGGTTTTCCTTACAAGTAGTAAATACTACAAAGTATCTGCCCCATGCTAGTTAAGCACCTACCTTTTAATTTAATATTTTAATGCTACCAAAGATTCAATATTTTCTATTCACAGATGTTCTCATTGCTAATTAATGCTTCATGAAAGAAAAAAAGAAAGGCATTTTAGAAAAAAGAAATTTATTTTTCTCATTGCAGACTATGAATACAAATTCAATGGACTAAAATCTCTGAGATGTTACTCATTATTACCCAATGTGGATGAAGGAACACTGTAAAAATTTATCTGTCCTTAAGAAAAGCAACTTAAGTCATGCCCTAACAGCTTTTGTTCTTCCAATAAACTTATTTTACAATATTAACTTCGCTTTTATACTTCCAGACTGATACATTTTAGACAACCCATATTTGCAAAAGCACTTCATTTGTATGTAAATTTGTCCAGTTAGCAATACTATCAAAACTGCCACATCCCATGAGGGCTAATCACACAAAGAACAGAGTCAGAGGCAGGTAGCTGCATGCTGAAAACTACAGCAATCACTTAACCAGGACAAAAATGAAAATCAAAATTAAAATTAAGCAGAGAGTTAGAGTTACCAGATATAAAAAAATAATTTTTTCCTAGTGATATTCTTTTCACCCATAGGAATAAAATACTACTGTTTCATTTATTTTAATTTCTAACAATTCACTGGCCCATCAATTTTACATAACTTTAGACCTGCTTAATGACAAACAGTATTGAAGCAAAATATTAGATGGGAACTTATCTGTATTAATCATATTTCTTCACTAAATACTTCAGTTTGGGGCCCAGCATAGTAACCTAGAGGCAAAAGTCCTCACCTTGAACGTGCCCAGATCCCATGTAGGAGCCAGTTCTAATCTCAGCACCTCCACTTCCCACCCAGCTCACTGCTTGTGGCTTGGGAAAGCAGTCGAGGAAGGTCCAAAGCCTTGGGACCCTGGACTCACATGGGAGACCCAGAAGTAGTTCCTGGCTCCTGGCTTCGGATTGGCTCAGCTCCGGCCGTGCAGTCACTTGGGGGATCTTCCTCTCTGTCTCTCCTCTCCGTATATCTGACTTTCCAATAAAAATTAAATAAATCTTTTTTAAAAAATTTAAGTTTCTAATTACCACATAGTAAGCTCTTTGCTAGACATATAAAAATGAAAAACAATTTTCTATCCTCAAGAAGTGATCATTAAATTAATAATAATTCTTAAACTGTTATCGAAGCACAGGAAAAAACAACTGCGCCCAAACAAAAGCTGAATTGCTAAAAATATATGAGCTATGCCTGGCTGAATGAGGAAG